AGAGGTATTTATACACAAAATTTTTTTCTAAAAATAGTTTTTGGGCTCCTAATTCGTGTTTTGTTTCACATTAACAGGACGTTTTTACTAAGGCACTAGATATGTAGGTATTCTCATCCGCCATTTTGGTTCCTACTAGATGGAGAATTATAGCGTATATAGTATAGTATAGCCTACATGTGTAACACGTCAATTATTAAAAATGATTCAGGACTTTTTTCGACTCATTTTTTGGCAAGGAATAACGCTATGTACTTAGTGGTCAGTCTTTAAGTATACTATCCTATATACGCTATAATTCTCCATCTAGTAGGAACCAAAATGACGGATGAGAATACCTACATATCTAGTGCCTTAGAATACCTACATATCTAGTGCCTTAGTTTTACCTAAACCATAACCATTGTTCGAGAGCGTTTCTATCTTAATTGTCTTATCGCTTCTCTACTTACGACTACATTATTTATGTCAATTTTACACTGAAGATGGCCACATCCCTTAGGCCGAAACGTTTGTAATAATTTTTTTAATAAAATAAACTTTTGAGCAACTCTATCCGGCTCCTGCTCTATTAGCTTGATGTTAACACAATTAAATAAAATAACTTACCTTGTATGCAAAAACTGAACTAAGCAATTTGAGCATTTAATAAAATGTTATATCTTTTCTTCTTCTAGAAAAAAAATATAGAGAAAATGTAGAAAAAAAACTAATATAACACTGCAATTATTGTTAACTAATAATTACCATGAATTTAATAATTAACATTGTCTTTACGCTATAAAGACAATGTTGTACGTTATAAGCTCTGATTCGTACATCTTTATACAAAATCACGACTAATAAGTTTTTTCATGTTGTAAAATGAAACAAAATTGAATATAACATTTGAATAAATCTTTAAGTATTTTCACAAATGAGAACAAATCAATAATATTCAAGAAAAATTTGCGCCAACACATGGAATCCATGTAGTCAAAATACATTGTACATCTATATTACAATTTTATTAATTGCTAATTTAATTAACAATTTTATGAATTTAATTTTTATTTATAATGTTCTGTTGTATTCTACTCAAATTGCTGCTTATAATTAAATATATTGTTACATTATATAATCCTTTTTTTATAGTTTCTTAAAAAATTAATACCTTGTACAATGTATATGAATATGTGCTGGACAAATATTCGGATGAAACTTTGGTGAATAAAGCGGAATGAGTTATTGCAAAACATTTCTAATAACAATCTACTTAAGCTTTGCATACATCATTCTGGTCTATTCACTGAATAAAGTGAACATCATTGAAAGGCTTGATCCTTGTTTTCACAGCTGCTTACTAATTGTTGTCTTTTTCCGATTACACTGACAATTTCCAATCTTGATCGAATCAAACACCGTTTGTAAACGCGGGCGTCTTATTTTAATCTTAAATATATCTGGAACACACAAAAAGAATTTAACATATGCTAACATACCCTTTGAAAATCAATACAAATATACTGTTGACCAATGTTCAATAGAAATTCTTCAAAAGAATAAAATCATGTTTTAAAATTAGCATAAATAAATATTTTGACTTTAAATCACAGATTTTGGTAACCAACTTGAACAATGTCATGTTTTTTAATAAAACAGACGTAACTATTGCATTAAATAACTATTACTTTCTTTTTTTAGATCAGTATTTTCCAGCAGCTGTAAATAGTGTACATTTGTACAATTCTGACATGACTAATTCAGTCGTTTTTAGAATAAAAATGCTTAATATTATATTAATACTAATGCTTATAATAATGATAATAATTATCATAACAAAATGCTGGATGATGATGATAATAACAATAATTTCATAATCATCTTTATGTTCATACAAATGCTTTTGAAACTTGACATACAATAGTGAAACTCAACAGATTCAAATATTTCGATTCAAATATTTCAGACGCATTTTTGCACTCATTCTCAAACTCTCAACTGAAGGAATGCTAATTTAATGTCAAGTAATTCATTGTCAAGGCATTTATTATCTGCTATTGGCTCATTGACTATCCATTATTGATCATCAATGTGATCTACCAATTGCTGATAACTTTCGCGCGCGCGCCCGGGCTTCTGTGCGGATACTTGTGTATTCAAACCATAACACGTTAGGAATTAGCGTTGTGTCACGCAACAGAAAAAACTCAGCTGTTTTCCTGAGAAAAAAATAAAGATTAGATATTAAAACGTAGAAAAACGATATTATCCGTTATTAGACCATTGAATTATTATTACAATACATCTCTGTTGTTATATACTTACCATGAAACTACTATAGGAAAAAATGGCGTCAAAATGGTATGTGTGATAAAAAACCATATTATTCCCAGCGCAACTCCTATTAATGCACCACAGAATACTTGGGTATTTGAGTGATATAACAGATACACTCTGCCATAAGTTACCAACACAGCTGCAATAATGCATCCAAGCGCCACTATTATCCGGCAAAATCTCTCAAATATCGTACAGCTATAATTTAACCTGGAATGCAAAAAGAAAGACTCTGTGAGTTAATGAGGAGTTTAATTATCAAAATAATAATGTGAAATTTGTTTACCTAAAGTATATAAAAAATGTTACATATGTAGCAAAGAACCACATATGTTGTGCATGCATAGATGGCATACCATATTTAGTATGCAGGCCATCTCTCTCTATTGGTCGTGCTTGGCAAATTGTATATTTTAATACCAAATTTATACAATCATTAATAAGAACTCCAGAAAAAAATGCGATCTGTAAAAAAAATACTATATTTCGGAATCATAAACTTATAACTGTTATATAAAATATTATTACAATTGCTTACAGTATGTAAATCCCTTCTGAAGATTATTAAAGTGATAAAACCAGTAAAAATGGCAAAGGGTGCTAGACTTAATAGAGCTAAAAACTTTCCAAAGAGATCCCCTGAAAATTTACATATATAAAATTTATATATATTTATACAGTGATAGCATTATTATGATATAATATATATTTTCTAAAAAGAGAAGATAAATTTTTTCACAGCATAAATTATAATTTTATAAGCAAATTGAATAGCATATATATGTTTAAAACTTTGCTCAAAATAACTTGAAAAATTATCTATCAAACTCTTTATCGCATAAACATTGTTATGTATAAGTATAATTTGAGTCGTGAATCTGCCTTATTGTTAGTAATCACTGGTATATACATTAGCGCTCATAAGTATTTTGACAACGATTGTTTTTGTTATAAATAAGTCAAGGTAGCGAATGTAAACAAAGTAATCAGTTTATAGACTTTAAAAAAGCCGTAATTCGTGCACAAGAAGAGAGACAAATGCAAATAAGCGTTGGAGATTTCGGAGTGTCTCGTCAGCTTCTTTGGTGTAAACTTAACAAGGAAAGAAAAGATTTAACAACAAATCGAGATCAGGATCACCTCGAAAATCAACAATCCGAGAGGATAAACTTATCCAAAAACTAAGTGTTGCAAATCCTCAAAAGTCGGCTGTAGAAATTACAAAGGATTTAAATACAAAGTATGATTTAAAACTTAATGTTTCTGTAAAACAATGTCTAAAGGAGCAAAGTGTCTATTTGGTCGACGATCCAGTAAAGTCTCTTATTTCCAAAAAGAACAGAAAGGCCCGATTGATATTTGCTAGAAATCATCAAATGTAGACGAAGGCAGAATGATCGAGTATCCTTTGGAGTGATGAGAGTAAATTTAACTTGTTTTTTTCAGATGGAATAAAGTATGTGCATCGTCTCAAAAATAAAAAGAACAATATTTGCTATCAAGTACTCACTATTAAATATGGTGGTGGAAACGTCATAATATAAGAATGTTTTTCTCACAAAGGACAAGGTCCATTAATACAGATCGAGGGCAATACGGATCGCTCATGTATCAGTAATTTTGTTCAAACACATACTGGCATATGCAAAAAAACATGTATCAAAACTGGATTTTTCAGCAAGACAAAGAATTTTTTGTAAAGAATAAAATTAATGTTTTTTGAACGACCTAGTCAAAGTCCAGACTTGAATTCCATTGAACACATGTGAATAGGATTTGTAAGAGTCAAAAATAGAAAATTTTCAAACAAGGACGAACTTTTTACAGTCTTGAGCGAAGAGAAGTAAAAAATTCCTCTTAATTACATTATTAATTTATTCAATGCCACAGAGATGTCAAGCTAATTTAAGCAAATAGTTATGCAACAAAATACTAAAAATATATTAGTTTAGATATTAAAGTTTATTTTCTCTTAAAAAGTAAATTAAGGACAATATTATGTCAAAATACTTTTAAACTGTTTTAGTTTTTTGTCGCATACTCTTATAAAAAATTATATGTTATCGTTTTTTTGTTATAAAATGTTTAAGTTATTGATAATTATTTTGCTCAATTTTTTAATAAATTTATAATTGTATTATATAAATAAAGTTATATGAAATAATACCTTTGTGTCAAAATACTTGTGAGTGCTACTGTAGCTCAACATTCATGTGAGTAGAGCAGCAGGTGTTGTATGTGTGTGTACTGTGTGAAGCGGCAAAACAAGTGACATAAAGGCGGCATTTTATTAATCTATCTATCGTATCGACAAAATATCGGACAATTCTTTTAATATGCAAGCAAAAGCTTTATTTTCTCAATGTTCGCATTTCCGCATATCTCACAGAAATAATGGAAAATGCCGTATACCGACCTTGCGAATACTCCACCAATGTCAGAGATAACGGAACCAATTTGGGTTTTTCGGCGACATGTGTGAAGTGGGACTTGATCTCATCTAATGACTCGTCGAATGCCATGTTATCACAATCCTTTCAATGGCATGTCTCGCACAGTCTATAATAAATGGACACATAAGTCGAGAAAACATTTAACTTTTATAACTACACTTACCAAGACTACACCGACCATTCGATCGTGACTACCGGTAACCAATACTATTCACTATATGCTATTCATTTACCGCTGGCTGGCACTGACCTGCATTGACCTCACTAATCACGAAGTAACGAAAGTGAACCATGGTGTATATAAAATTACATAGATAATAAAATAACAAGGTAATATAAGAAATTGTTATAATGTAAGATTCATACTGCATCCACCATTCGACGCACGACATGCAATAAGAAAATTTATTTCCTAGAAATTTAGAATTTGTGTGTTCGATACTCAATAACAAATTTTATTTATAGGACAAAAATATAATACCAGACAGTCTCTAGAAAGAATACTTTTTTATTGGACATTGAAATATTATATCTAGTATTACGTTACGATACTATAGATTGGAGCGTATTGGAGCATGTTGGGGCATGCGATGCGACAAACCTACAATCTCTAAACCATATGTAGACTACGCGTTGTTCTATGCCTGTCGCAATAGTCACGCATGCGCAAAAAAACAGACTCCTATCGGAGCACTATGTGATACGTGAGCTTAATGATAGTGAGACGATCATTCGTGGCGAAGTGAGCGCCGTTATAAGTAGAGAAAGGGTGCGACGATGCAGCGGTGCGACTTCTGAAACCGTAGGAATCATTGTTTGGATCACCGGTGTTGCTTTCTTAATCGAGCGACTGTTGTTTTCGATCATACGTCACGATGGCTCTCAGCCAGACCAGCGTAGTGAGTATACGAGCGACATAAATGTATACGTAAATGATCGTGTACGGTAGACTGCTCCTGACTCTCTCCGAATAATTCCACTTTTTCTAGTGTTCGACTGAGTACCGCGTAATCCGTCTTCAATTATCGAGTCGATATTCGTTCTCATATGTTGACACTTCAAATATTAAAAATTGCTTATTAAAATTGGAAATTCTAACCCAATTCTCCAATTTCAAATTGGAGATTTAAACATTCAAATAAACTGTCAACCATGTAAACATTTAGCATTAACGTCACTATCGTTATTAGTACTTAAATAATAAACTAAATTTTATTGTACTATGATATATAAGGATTATTTAGTTGAAATATTGAAATTCTTTCTACTAATCTTACAATCTTCAATGTTCAACTTAAAAAGATTGCATTTGCAATTCCATACTTATAGAAGTTATGCATAATATTATATTTTTTATCAATGTAATTAGTAAAATGCATTTAGATATCCTGTGTGGCTTTAATATGCTTATGATATTAAATATTATTTTACAGTTAAAATTATATAATACTGTGATAGAAGATGTAATAGCAGGAGTACGAGAATCGTTTATAGATGAAGGTGTAGACGAACAGGTTTTACAAGAGCTTAAACAAATATGGGAAGCAAAATTAATGTCCAGCAAGGCTGTAGAGTTAAATCCAGATCCACCAGAACCTCAAGTTCCTCCAATCAATACGCATAAAACTGTATCTGTCACAAAAGGTATATATTCTTTTAAAACCAAACTTTAAAAAACAATTTTTAATTAAGATTTATAATATGCAATTTATACAATATATAAGATGTTGAATATTTGAACAGTAATTTATATTTATTAATATATATATTTAGTAATTCAACATCTTATATTGTTTTACATATACAGATATATTTGATATTGCAATAACTAATGTAGGAAATCATTTTGTACAATCATCTGCTGGAAATTCAGTATCACAAACATCTCAGCAACAATCACAGCAACCGCAACAGCAGCAACAGGCACAATCACAGCAGCAACAAACATCGCAACCTCAACAACACACAAGTACTACAGGAACGACCGTACAGCAGCAGCAGCATTCAACGACACCAGTGCAACAAGTAGTGAATGCTCCAGCAGCTGTGCTCGACCGACAAGTACCCATACAGATCACTTTACCTCCTCAAGCTGGGGTTCCAGATGGACCACAGCGGATCTTAAGCATACAAGTTCCTGCGTCCACTCTTCAAGGTACTTATTATATTTCATTAGAAAATTGCTTAACAAGCGAAACCACCACAAGCGATGTGGTGAAAAATAAATGCTCTATTTTATATTTGTGCAATTTAATAATAAAAAAATTATATATTTTTTTGCAGGAAATCAGTTGCAAACGATTTTAACAGGTCCAATAATTTCCGCCGCTATGGGTCTTCCAGCAAATTTAGCTTCGACCCTGTTACAACAACATGTAAATTCTACGTTGCAAGGACAAGCAACGTTAGCTCCGCTACAAGTGAATCAGCCTATTCAAGTGGTTACACAAAGTACAAACAGTATCGTTACACAGAGGCCACCTCAAAATCAAGTAGAATAATTCAGTCTATATGAAAAAAACAATACATAAAATAATATAATTATTACAAAGAATATAAACATTGTTCGCCTTTTTAGCAACAACAAAATAACATAAATCAAATGGACGGAGGGGTAGGTGACTCTACCGACGACGATGACGAAGAGGAGGAAGAAGATAACGATGAGGATGACGAAGATCTGGACGATAGAGAGGAAGAAGAAAACGACGAAGCAGCAACTCGCGAAGAGGTTAATATTTGCAAATAAATCCTATAAATAAATAATGTGACCGTAATTTTATGGAAAAATTGCTTCTTCCAGGAACCTCTTAATTCCGAAGATGATGTTACGGATGACGATCCCGCTGATCTCTTCGATACAGACAATGTAGTCGTCTGTCAGTATGATAAGGTGTGCAAGTAACTTAACACATATATTTATCTTTACACAAAAAAATTACTCTAAGTCAAACATATGTACGATATTTTGTTTCCAGATCACAAGGAGTCGAAATAAGTGGAAGTTTTATCTCAAGGACGGTATAATGAATCTAAGTGGGAAAGACTATGTGTTCCAAAAAGCAAATGGGGACGCTGAATGGTAATTCTAGGTGCGATGTGAATATCGTGTTGCCCACAGTAAGCTCGACTCAGGGACGCTGCGTATAAGGCAACTTGATAATGTGTTCACATGAAACCACGTATCATGGTTAATACAAGAGATACGACCCATCTCTGCAATGATTCTTCTACCAATTGTGCTGCACTGGCAAACAGGGGAACAATGGCAAAAATTATCATAAATATAAGATTGTATTTTGTGTTACGTCCTCAGCCTTCTATGGACGACAAACATCTTTTAAATGCGTTAAACGTTTAAACGCTGCCTTTACAGATTTTACTGACATTACTAGATTGATCACTAAAATCGAAATTTTTCTTGTTTTTTTTTCACAATTTCTCATATTCTTGTTAGAATATTAGTATCAATTTTTACTTCATTAATTTTTTGCTGAGAAAAATTTAAAACCAAAAGTTAAATAAGCCATAGAAGGTGTAATACATTATATTTTCATGTAGTGCAAATTACAAATATATAATGTGAAAATTATACAAGTTTCCTATTGTGAGCCGTATATTACCGAAAATGCTTGCGGATGCCGAAATTTCTCCTGCAAAAGAATCATAATAAAGGTAGTTAGCTGGTTTTATTAAATAAACAAACCTTCATAAGATGGAAACGTGTGATATGTTCGTCATCTCGATCGGTGATTCCAGTTGTTTAGGGATCACAATATGATAATTTATAATTGCAAAGATTGTATACTATAAATCAGGGATTAGCAAATGGTCGATCGTGATCGATCGTTAAACACTTTGCAGTCGATCACAAATATCTTGAAAAAATAACCTTTTTTTAATTCATTTTTTGCAAACATTTTTGGAGCATTCCAGTACTTCGGTCGATCATGAAAAATTGTATGTTATGTGATGTATACATGCATATTTTGTAAAATTTTCGATTTTGAACCTTCTCACACAGTTTCACAATTTTTTTAATTTGATATTCTTCAATTCTTCAATTAATATATTATGTATATGGATTTTTATCCAATAATTGAGAGATGTAATTATGTTTCAAATTAACATAAACTTATAAAAATTAAATTTATTGACTTTCAGATGATTCAAATTGCCCCAATTAAATACATAAAATTCATGAGTTCTCAAGTTTTTGGCATATGCTAAGTTTGAATAATATCAATATTGCAAATGTTTATAAAGAGAAACTCACTCTTGAATTATAATTTATGAATAAAAATAACTAAAAAATTTTCTTATGTTATTAGGATTAATGTGTAATTAGAAAAAACAATGTATAAATTTCTACAATATATACTTATGATGTGATTACAAATATGCCAAAATAGTGCGCAATTTTTATGGTGTATTATATCATTCTGCAAAGAATGTTTCAAATATGTTTATACGTTCTAAAAAATTTGGATAAAGTGTTTTAAATAAACAAAATGCTTTTGTTTTGTGTGTACATGCATAAATATACATTGTTAATTGAGTAATCCCTTAATTTTCAAACTTTACTAAAAAAAAAGAATGTATTTTATAAAAATTCCGGTTAAAAAATATATCTTATAAAATATGATTACATGTACTGTCTACGAAATAAGTACACAATATCTGAATTTGAATAAATATTTAACTATTCTTTACAGATAGGTGTATTGTATGCGTGTGCATGATGGAGCATGTTTAAAAATTTTTGGATGACAATTTCATGAATGACAAGTATTTAGTAACCTGTAGTACTTATATCACGTATTTGACGTTAAATGTAACTATCTACACAATACGTGATAATGCATATCTGTTTTCATATAATTATTTCTGATGAACTAAATTTCATTTTATACAATTTCTTAAAAGTACACTCTCATAAATAATTTAATTGTAAAATGTTTTGTTTCACTGTATTCTCCTAGGAACTAAACTCTCAGTTTTCTCTTAATAAATTATAAATGTAAGTATGCCACATCGTTTCATTTAGCTCATAAAATTATCAAAATATTAATGGAGTAAAAAAGGCAATAAGAATCAACAAACTAAAATTATTTATTTTTATCATACCGATTTTTTCAAATTTTATTCAAAGCAATGTAAAGATATTCTTGATGTTGAAAAATATTAAATCAACACTGTAAAATTTCATAAATTCATTATTTTCAATTCTAATTACATATTTGTAAGAACAAATGTGCTTATATTACCATATATATATAT